ATTAAATAATTTAAATACATTAGCGACTTTCAATAGGCATGAAACGTTTACATTACTTTATTTGATATGCACATAAAAACAAAGACATTTTCTATTTACTTCGTTCGGACTATTGTCATCATCTTTATTGCAATATTCATGACGTTTCGGCCGTTGTTTGACTTCGTCAGGTGATATACTTTGAAATTTCGAACTGAACCTATTATTTAGTATACGGAGATAAATTGTTCTAGTTCTAGTATTAATCATAAGATCAAACATTATGTACGAAAAATTTCAGATCAAAGCTCTTCTACATATCAGGCTACGGATTTATTAATCCTTCTTCCTGTATAACATGCACGAGCGCACGCACACATATGTGTGTGTGATAACTACACACACACACACACACACACACACATATATATATATATATATATATATATATATTTGTTTTGTGTGTGTGTGTAAAGTTATCACCAAAATATTATTTGTATATTTTTATGTCTTTTATTTATTTACACTATATCGTTGGGACTGTTGTCCTTTATTGCTATATTCACGAAGTTTCAGGAGTTGAGTTACTAAAGGCATGACAAGTGGAGTTAGAAAAATCTATCCCAGTGGAATATAAAGGGTTCGATTCAAAATTCAAACGTATATTACCGGAAGAATGTCGGAGCGTACAATGGTCGAAACGTCGTGAATATGACAATAAAGATGAGGAGAATAGTCCGAACAATGTAAATAGGGTAAATAGTTACAATTACTTATCTCGGAAATGTAGAAAACACATTTTCATACATTTTGAATTATTTCACATAAATATATATTTTTACTATATGTCTCCTATAAGTGTTAGTATGCCGGGGGTAATTTTGTTTCCGCCGAATTCATCTCTCGTCTTATATTAAAACGTCCACTCTCACGCAAATACTCTTGTGAAAGTCACGTCTTTTCCAAAATTGCATAGCAATCCACAGATAATGTCGTTGTTGTGATAGTTGCTTCGATATCGGAGTTTTTTTATCAGGTGAGTTTTGTCCTTACTCAGGAGATATACGCTCGTGTCTGATGAGGCCAATACTAGGCCGGCGAGAAGCTTCCACAGTCGCTGCAGAGAAATAGCTGGTCTCTACGGGGCTCTGCTCGGGCACTATTTCTTCAACGAGTTCTCTTTTGCTCAAAGCTGGTAAAGTGACTCGCTTCAAAATTCCATGCCACGTGGTGTATAGTGATGTACGAAATCTGCCTGTTGGATCCGTGGCCTTCCGTTGAGCCTGGTGTTACTAAGAGTTGGAAACTTCTTTAAGCCGTTTTTCTGCTGCTTTCTTGTATATTCTCTCTTGCGATGGCCATATGGTAGTTCACCATATATCATTGTTGGCACTCGATTCTTTTCCATGCCAGAAATATGTGCATCCATCGTAGCTGGGTCTTTATCAAGGTTTCCTGAATGTCTGACAATTAAAAAAATATTCTTAAGTAATCCAAGTTTGTGATGAAAGCATTGTATTCAAGAGATCCAAGTTGGTGATGAAAGCATTCTATTGGCTAGTTAGAATATATCGTTGACAGCGTTTGTGGTGTCGTTCCCGGGGACAAATTTTATAGCGATATGTAACTTAGTACACAGAGCCGAATACAAAATAGTTGTTGTCTAAATCTTGATCATGGTCACTGCTTTGGGGTTGTTGTTTTGTCTACCCTAGTATAGCATACATAAAGAAAGAAAACTTATTTGGAGAAAGTCCTGATTGACTTCGTCCTGGGTAAGACGTTAAACTACATCCGCGTTCTGGGTAAGACAATAAACTACATCCAGCAGCAAGGTCTCTGATCAGGATGTTTTGAGGAGTGTGGAACCACCTCTTAATTGTTGGTGTTCCCAGGTCTAACCTGACCTAGGATGGTAGCACCTGTTAGGGTCCCAGCTATGGGCATATAGTTAACTATTACCAGCAATACTTTTTTGAAAAAAATTATTACCAGCAATACAATTTTGAGGGAAGAATATTAACAAAAATAGATTTTTGGCAAAACAAAATATTACCAGCAATGAAAAATGTTGTCGGTATTAAATAACCCACTGAGATTGATATGCTGTAAAACAAAATAAACCAAATCAATCTAAACCAAAGAATACATATTCTATTTATATGAATCTACCCTAAAAATGTTGTCGGCATTAAATAAGTCATTGAGGGTGATATGCCGTAAAACAAAATAAACCAAACCAAACCAAACCTGACTGACTGGAGGTATGGCAAGTGAATTCAAGCCTCATTGGACGATGTTTTGTGTTCCTTGCTATTATATAAGTAAAATGAAATTGCCAAATAACTACACCGTCATTTTTAGAAAATATATACCAGCTAAGAAGCAAATTAATTATACCTATTCGTTTCGGTGGATACAAATAAAATTTATAAGATGAAAACTTCAGTTGTCATCAGTGTATATGCATCAATAGTGGAGATAAGGAAATTGAACATAGAATAAGCAGTACTGGATATAGTTTCAGCCAACGCTGCAAATTGCTACAGAACCCAAACATTAACATGAAAATTCTAGTGGTGTCCTTAAATAGCCTCGTCAAGTCAAGACTTTCATAAAGAAGCCATACTAGGCATCAAGGCCGTTCAGAAATATATAATCTCTCAGCTGTATAGAACCGCTTTCTCAGATCAATGTTTTAAAATGGCTTTGAACGGGTGAAGCTTATGCCTCTTAGTGCAGAACAACCTTCTTCGAACATTGTGGGCTGGCGCTACAGAATCACCTACAACTCTGAGGACTTTCAACAGCAGCAACATCTAAAATAAATATCCCATGTAACTCGAAGATAATTATGAAGAACAAATCAAGATACTGATTTTCCCCACTACTTTAAACAAAAGGTTAGGGAGGAAATCCCCATCAATACTGGAAAGAACAATAACAGCTAACGAACTTGAAAAAACTATTTTCTTCAATAATCGTTTTAAGAAAAAGATTTTATAAATTTCAACCGACAGAAGTATTAGCTGCTGGTCAATGAATGCTGAATGTTTCCTTATAAGGAAACAGCTAATATTACCTTTACCATTAAAAGATCAGGAAAATGATGCTTTATTTTTTAAATTTGCATGCAAATAATTATCTATCTCTGCGCGTTTTTGAAATGTCCACAGATTAATAGATTGCTGCAAAATATATTAGCAATTTAAAATCGTTTTATTCATATGAATTTTCATAAAATCATAAAGATATTTTCGCTAAATTTCTACGACTTTAAACTATCATTCAGTTGCCCTGAAGATAGCGATAGAGTGGCTAGTAAGGGTTTCGTCTGTCGTCTGATGGAAAAGAATGCATTCCCCATAAGACATTTAAATTCCTTCAAGGCTGGAACCTGAGGGTTGGGCAGCTCCATCCCAGATATGGCAGCAATAATCTATTGTTGGTAATGTCTGACTCTTTTTTGAGATAGAATATGCCAGTAGGAGTCGGATACTCTCTGAAGCGGTATGTGGCATATTGAAAAAAAAAAAAAAAAAAAAAGCAAAAAAAAAAAAAATACAATACAAATACAACAGTCTCAAAATTTCATTTAATTGCCAAATATCTAACTACACGGGAGAAGATTTACATAAGCGCAATGGAAACATTCCACTGCTAGATACGTCAAGGACAAACAACCAGTTCTTGGGATATTCAAAATGGCTTCAGTTCTTATATATATTTAAAGAGATGACAGGTATCACGTGTCGATGCTCAGTGTGCTTTGTTTTTAAGGCTACTAAAAAAAAAACGTCACGCTTTTAACAATAAACAAACAGATCCATTTCCGGAGAAATGGCAACTATTTGGCTTCTTTTACACAAAGCAAACGAAGACAGAAAGTAAAATAACAGACATTTGATATCTAAGGAGGAACGCGTTTAATTTCTATGTTTTGTCATATGTGTAGAAATGTGCTTCTTTAAAGTCACCATATCAAGTTCGAATTTTAGATGGATGGACACACAAACTCACACACAAATATCGGGTGACATTTAAGTTAGCTCATGTGGAGGCTCTTGATCGGGTCTCCATCACAAGATGTAGACAGGAGTAGATACAATAGACAACCATTCTAACGTAATTTCAATGAAGAAATCAATTGAATAACATGAATTTTTTCTTTTCTCTTCAGTAATTTTATAATTTTAAACTTAATAGAGATTAAAGTTGGATTTTAAAATTGGTAATTTTAAATTTTAATTTTAATATTAAATTTTATCATATAATTTAATAATTATTGGTTAGAATAAATTCTTTTCTAATATTCCCACTATTTTAAAGATCTGAATAGCTATTATAACCTTACTTCGTTGTCAAGCTTTTTGAATTTTTCTATACTTGTATTTTGATTGGTCAGTCTAGCTTTTATAACAACGTTTTCCCCTTGCGAAGGATCGTTAATTAATTTAAAACTTTTAGAACCATTTATTTTACATTCAACATCATCACTTGATAGGCTATTTTTGTAGTGATTTTATAACATATTTATGTTATAATCTTTAAATAAATAATTATATATATATATATATATATATATATATACATATTTATGTTATAATTTTTAAATAAATAATTATATATATATATATATATATATATATATATATATATATATATATATATATATATATATATATATATATATATATATATATATATATATATATATATATATATTCAGAAAGAGGGACAGATGGAATAATGGTTAATGGTTAATAATTAGTTGAACTAAAGATTCGAATATGATTCGAGTTCATTAGATTCACTTACATGCTAATAACCTTGGGAATTGTAATCTATCTATTCCTCCACCAGCTATGGGTAAAATAACTGGACCGACTGAGTCCTATAGTAATCAGTCTAGAAGAAAGAAAATCTGAATTCAAACCACCTGCTACTTTGTAGGTCTTACCTCTTCAAGCAAAGGCTAGAAGAAGGTAACTTTTAAAAAAATCCGCCTCTGGTGACTACAGCAGCGCGAAATACACTAAAAGATAATAAAATTAATATCTATCTATCTATCTATCTATCTATCTATCTATCTATCTATCTATCTATCTATACATTATTTAAATTATTCGGGCTATTGTACTCATCTTTGTCGCCATATTTATTACAACGTTTCGGCCGTTGTACGCTCCGGCCTTCTTCAGCACAGTGGATAAAGGCGTTAGTTAGATCCAGTAACAGAACCCCAAAGAGTGAGACTTCAATACCCCGTTAAGGCAGTGGGGAACTTTCAGAGGGAAATTAACAGGAGATAATTGATAACTGACATCCATTAAACATGGCACATTGAACTAGAACAGTCTACCCCAGTGAGCGACATAAAAGGTCCAGTTCGACATTTCAACCACCTGAATAAGGCCGGAGCGTACAACGCTGTAATAAATATGGCGCCAAAGATGAGGACAATAGTCCGACTAATGTACAGAATACCTTATCCCAGAAATATAGACAGATAATATCTATCTATCTATAAAGTTAGGGTACCATATTTATGGGTTAAAGTTTATGGGTTAATGTTTTCTGTATGGTTGATATGTACCGTTTCTATGTTGTAATGTGACATCTAGGAAATCTAATTCTTGTAGGTTTGTTTTGATGTTCCCTATTTTAATAATGATTTTGATTGATTTTTTTTCTGTTTTTTTTTTTTTTACAGTTTACTAAGAATATGAGATCGTCATCCCTGTATGATTTTTATAGATTATTTTACTTCATGTTACAAATGTATACCCATATACTCGAAGGTCTGTATCTTCAAAGCTGCCTATTGTAATACCAAATATTCCTTATTTCTTTAACCATGCGTCTTCATTATCGATTTTCGGGAGTGTTTAATGATTTTTATTTAATTTGTCTTGTAGCGGTACTGACGGCCTAAATCAACCCGGACAATTTTACGAATGTGTAAGCAAATGCAAAAAACAAGAGAAATAATCTAGGAGACAATATTTGTTCAACAATAAATATTTTATAAAACACAAGTACAAAATATATACTAAATTTGTTAAAACATTTTAGAGTTCTTGATTGTGTGTAATATTGAAAAATTTGAAGTTGTTTGTATGAAAATGAGAAGGTGTTACTATTGTAGAAAAATTAAACAGTTCTGTTTTTTTGTATTAAATTAAAAAGTATTGTTCTTGACTCACTGTGATTTCTACAGAGTTGTCGTTCTTCTACCGGAGATGTTTGTAGTGGAATAAATAAGTTGTTGGAGTGAGCGTTCTTTTGCAAGTTGGGTTTATGCTAATTTAACTAATTAACGTTAAGCTTGGAATTGGGTGACAAGGTTCGTTGTGGCGTTGAAAAACTTGGTTCGTCTCACTTTGACTGTTGTTGTGTCGCTGTCTAATGAAGTCAAGTAAATGAATTGAATATTTTAAGGGCCTACTGACTAAGTCGCGCCAAAGTCTCGTATTTATTAATTCTCTTAATCACGTGGGGGCTCAGGAATATGTTTACATTTTGTGGCGTCAACTCGAGGTGAAAATTTGAGTCGGTACATTCGGACGTAGTTGATGACATCTAATTGATATTTTTCAACCAATCAGAATGCATGAGTTGTTATAAACTTGGCTGGGAGCCTCTATGTGTTTAACTTGCACACATTTGAGATTTAAAACAATAAATGTAGAAATCTGATTCCATAGTCTTTATTTTTATTTACTCTTGAGCTAGGGAGGTGCCCTTATCCGGCATGGTTTCTGTTATAGAAGGGTAAAATTCTTTTGTATCTAGTTGTATAAATTGGCAATTATCTTTGTGCTTTAGTTTGTTGTGCGAGAAAATGTGCTATTGGTTTCATTAACAAAGCGAATAGCAATACAACATAAACATATAAAAAGAAGTTTAAAATAACCACAAAAGTTTTCATATAAAAACAATTGAATATATATTTAAAATTGAAATCTGAACTGTTCATACAAGGTGTGTATGTGTTTTTGTAAGAGATTTGATATCTGAAAAATATAAAGGTAATCTTTAGTACTTATGTTGATTGTTACGAGCCTGAATAAGTACGTCTTTCTAGTTTGACTGCCAGTAACCAAAGAGGATATTTGACTTTCGCGCCTAACGATCCACCCGGCAGTTCACGTGACTATAGATCTACTTTTAGCCTTTTAAATGGTTAGTCAAAGGGAGATAACATTTGTCTCTCTCAACAAGATAGAGAAACCAATCATTGTGTTTGTGTTTTCCATTGATTTACTCCTAACTTCTTCCTTAGCTCTGAATTAAATCTTTCTAGCATTATTTTACTTATTTTATCTACATCATTGTTTGTTTAGGTTTATGAGTCTGCATGTTGGATTTGTTCTGATGCACTTTTTTTCGGTTGTCTACTTCTAATATTTGGGGGATTGTTTTAGCTTTCATTATTTCCACTCAATATCCCTGTGAATAATTAGAAACATAGCCATTACCGCCCACCATAATAACCGCTAGAACAATACAATAGACTACCCAAAAGGCATCACTGACATGTATATATAAATAGTCGAGCAAAAACGCAACGCATATGGCCTGACGATATCGTATAAGGATGAAACAGACTGTCATCGCTGGGTGTTGACTTCAATCTAAACACACACACACACATACGCATATATATATATATATATATATATATATATATATATATATATATATCACTGTATGTGTGGATTTGTTACATTCACTTCCGCTCAAATACCTTTGAATTCCTCTCTTCTCCCACGCCAACTCTCAATTAACTGGCGTGGCAGAATGTACTCTCTAACCATGGTTGATAACCAGTCTAGAAGAAGGATAATTCAGTATTTAATACCTTTCGAAATCTGTACCAAGATGGTTAGACATGCGATGGAGTTTCTATGTGTGTAAAACAAAAACATGAGAGATTTCAACACACACACACACACACACGCACACACACACATGCACACACACAAACACACACGCAGGCACACACGCACACGTACACACACAAAAATAATTCAATGATAACTGCATCTAGGTGCACAATTATTTTCACACAAGGGGCATTAGAGTAATTTGAAACATAATATGTATATATAAATAGTCGAGCAAAAACACCACCTGTATGGCTTGACGATTGCGTTTAAGCATGAAACAGACTCTCACCTTTCGATGCTGACATTAATGTCCATTATATATATATATATATATATATATATATATATATATATATATATATATATCAAAGGAAAAAGTTCAATAAAGAGTTCGGTAATAATTTATTTTAGATAGACAACTGCCTCATCAGTCCAGAGTTATGAGGCAGTTGTCTGCTTGTAATAATATAATGATGAATTGTGATTTGCCTTTGATATATATATATATATATATATATATATATATATATATATATATATATATATACTACTAGTAGCAACCGCTATGATGTCACCAGCGGTTACCTCGTTCGGAAGTTCAAAGGTGAAAGCTTAATATTTTTCGTAGTAATATATATATATATATATATATATATATATATATATATATATATATATATATACATGAGGTGAAATGAATCTTTGTTGGTCCGACCAAGAAGAGATTTAAAAATGTTTGATCAGATTATGAGAAGTTTAAAAGTAATTCATTGTTCTTGTCTTTTAATTGTCTGGTTAATTTTTCAAAATTCTAGTGTATATTTTTTGTGTCATCTGCAGTCATTTTCTGTGTGAATTCTATCTTATGAACTGTTCGACTGTCGGTCTTGTTATGAAATTGAAACCCAGTTCCTGACTTCAGACGCGCCATAAACTGAATGGGATTTTCCTTCATTGATCTGGCATTTGCCTTCTCAATCACGAACTGTCATCTTAGGTCCACTATCTCTTCTTCCGGCCTGTACATAATTTTCTGAATCATGCAAATAAGAAAAAGAAAAAAAAAAGGTTTAAATAATTATTTGACTTGGATTATTTCAGTCAGGTATTTCACTTTGCCAAGACCAAGTTTCAGCCTTGTTTGTTGTATTCACTTTCGTACTAATATCTTTCGAAAAGACGCTAACCCTGCTATCCTTCTCCGAGCTATGGGTTGTAGGATCATTTGGTGTATGTGTAAGACTAAGAAAAGTACTGTTCTAAGCTTGAAACTGTCGAGAAAACAACAGTGAAAACCTACATTAGTTTCCTGAAGTAGTTATGGCATATCAGATATAATAAAACCGATATTTCTGTGGAAACCCAACAACGCCTATGAGACATGAAAAAATTGAACTTTGATTCTGAACTACAAGCATCCACCAGTTTCAAAGCTGAAGGAATCTGGTCACCCAGACAGCATTTCTTTTAGTATTTTCTAATCATGTAATTTATCAATGACACCTCAATAAATTCAGTGATTAAAATTTAGTTAAAGATACACAACTTATTATTGAACAATGCTTATAAAATAACTAAACCAAAAAATTTCACAAGCGGTAATTTGATTTATTCCAGACAGGTAATGAAATTATTCAAATTTTTTCTTGAATTTAAAGTTTTGTGTTGTCGTGCACTGCGTTTCTCATATATATATATATATATATATATATATATATATATATATATATATATATATAAGGCAGTTGTCTGTCTGAAATAGCATAATGATTCATTGCACTTATCCTTTGATATATATATATATATATATATATATATATATATATATATATATATATATGTAGATAGAGAAAGATATGATAGTAAACGTCGAACCTCATCGAAAAGAAACACAATTTCTACAACAAAATGAAGTCTGACATAAAACTGTGTATGACGGAGAGACGTGTCAGTGAATTCCAGTATATGAAAAATTTGCATCACTTGGCATTTAACATGTTGAACGTTTACGGTGACCAAACAGTGGATGTAAGCACTGTTTTTAAATAGGTAATGCATTCAACAGTGCCGACAGAAATGTGCGTGCTAATTAGTGTTTCGGGCACGCCTGCATATCTATTAAATCATAAAATGAAGTCCTCTTGTTCATCGCTTCAAAAATGCATTCCTAATGGCAGTGACTATATAGGAAATTAATTTTTGTAACTGGAAGCTTTCTCTCTCTCTCTATATATATATATAATATTAGGCAGAATATATTTTATATATAAAGAAATAATCATACATAGAATCAATCAGCAATATTGATACGATTAATGGTGAAATCACTTCGCTAGTAGAACATAATGTATGCATTAAAATACTGTTAATCCATTGAATGATTTGATCCTCATTTATAAAACTGTTGTCAGATGTTTCTAGTGGATATTATAATTAACATTATTTCGTCTTCAAGTTTTAACTTTATAGGAAAAAAATACAGCCTGATGATGGAGACATCGATCTTCGAAAGTACTTGCTTAACTTAAAAAAATATACACTAGAAACATCTGACAACAGTTTTATAAATGTATGAAGAATTAATGGATTTAATTTTTATTCTGGATTTCAACCTGTGAAGTATTTAACTTCAAACATTATAGTTGGCACTTCGTATTTGAAATAGACTCCGTATTTTTATTTATTACTATTTATATTTTGTTTTTTTGGTTTTTACTTTTTGTTTTTTCTCATATCTTTACGGAGATTTATCGAATGTGCATGCCGATAGACATAATATACACTGTTTGATAAAAAAATGGAACGTCTGTTTAAAATACGAAGTGTCCCCTCTGATAACTTTTGAACTCATATATATATATATATATATATATATATATATATATATATATATATATTTGCCAAAAAACCAACATAGTTTATAAATTCAAGTGCCCTTTGGGAGAGTGTATCTCCAACGAATTAAATAATATTTATGTTGGTCACACCACAAACTCGCTTTTAACGACGCTTGACACTACATTTTAATGAAAACTCTAACATTTTAGGCATTTAAAACAACATGCCTGCCCGCACACAATTCCGTAAAATACTTGTCGAAAACACAACTATACTTCGACATGAAAACAATAGACAAAACTAAAAATACTTGAAGCATTATACATCAAACAGTTAAACCCAACCTAAACAAAATCAATTATGGCATCTCTACAAATATTCTTAAATGTCTATAATTTCTATAATTTAACAGAAGCCATTGGTTTATACCAACGGCTTTCCTTATTTCATTCTCCAATTCACTCTCGTGTAGTCATGTGTGACGTCATGAGATGCGTGGTGCGATTTTCGCTTCTAGCGTCTTATATGCGCGTGTTTATCGTTGCTTAGTGATCAACTATGTAAACAATGACAGACTATCATCACTGTCGTGTCTGTATATTGTTTAATATGTTTGTGATTTACATCTTTGATAATGGCTTAAGTAAGCCGAAAGCTTAGATTATATTAAAAAATATGGATCAAAATTGTGAATTTCTTCGTTTAATGATAATGTTATCAAACTTATCAAATGTTACGAAGAAATTTTACATAAAATAAATAGACAACACTTGTCTATATTATTTAATGAAACGTATATATATATATATATATATATATATATATATATATATATATATATATATATAATTATAATATATATAGTGCTCGTGTTAATAAAACAGTGTTCGAGGTAATATAACAGAGCTATTAAGTATATATATATATATATATATATATATATATATATATATATATATATTAAAACAGGCTTGCTTAATAATATAGACACATCATGCCGATTTATTTTGATTGTGATCCTTTCAAGTTCAAGGATTAAATTCTTGGTGGCCTTAGAAAACTGATTAAGAAAAATACCAAAATCTTTTTACAAATAGTTTTTATTTTCCAAATTACTTTCAATCTCATCTGAGACCCTATTCAGAGGGTTAAATTGTCTGTGAATGCCTATATGTATTTATGTAAATTCTAAACATTTCAACTGTTCGCTTTACTAAAATTACTGCCAAGAAATGAATTCGTGAACTTGAAATGATCCCAACCAAAATAAACCGCCATATCTCGTAATTATTTAACCAAACCTATTTTAAGGACAATATGGTGCCTGACGATTGCGTCCAGCATGAAAAAGTGGCGTGACGATTGTGTCTAGCATGAAACAGCCTGTCGCCTCTAAGTGTTGACTTCAATGTTCACTTTTATATTTACACACGCTCTGTCTCTGATATTGAGCACTTTATCCCATAAATATAGCACACTATAAGACTATATTTCTTAATATATATATATATATATATATATATATATATATATATATATATGAAGAGAGAGAGAGAGAGAGAGAGAGAGGGAGAGAGAGGGAGAGATGTGAATGTGTGTAAATAAACAGAACGGACAAGTAATGTCTTTTAAGCATTTCGTGTGATTCTCTTGTCAAGAAATAATTTGCATTATCCTTAACTTATTTGATATCAGGAAAAAAAATTCATCAAATAGCTTAACAGCCATTGTGTTCGTTCTAGTTAATATTATAATGAAGGGTTTAGTGTCAAATACTGTATGTTCAAAATAAATATATGCAACAAATACATGTGCTTCAGTGTAGCTGGAGAATCGAGTAGCAACCGCCACGAGGTCACGTGCGGTTACGTCCGTCGGAAGTTCAACGGTGAAAGGTTAACAATTCTCGTAATAAAACGAATGACAGTAAAATACTTACGACGTTTAAAGCTTTCAGGACTTCTATTTCGTTTTTCTTCTTCTTCTTCTTCTTTTCAACAACAATTTGTCCGTGCGTACGCAGGTATTACGCGTGTGTCAGGGCATGTGTACTTTTGCCGAAGCTATAGAATTTCTCTCCCAAATCACTTAATATCTATGTTTGATCAACGATAAGTTAAGACTTGTGTCTATGCATCACGTGAAAGGTTATATCAATGTGAAAAAATAAAAACGGCGACAGTCAACGGGATCACTGACAGGTTATGATTTCTGTGTAAAGGCTAAAATGACAACCCCAGCTGCACGTAGGCACTGCCAGTGGATACGTTATCCGTCATAAGTAAACGTGTCCTCACATAATGAAAGGGTAAAAAGAATAAGAGTGAAGAAAAAGACAAGTAAAAGGAGGGGGGATAAAGAAAAAGAAAGAAGATAACTAAATAAAGAATAAATTTAAAAATGACGAAGGAGACAGAGAGAAGGACGAGAAGGAAAAGGACGAGTCACCTGACACGGTCGAAACGTTAAAATAAAATTAAACGAAAAAGACCAGGAAATTAGTCTAAATCAACGCATATACAATGATTAAAACTACGCGCATCAAATTGAGGCATGAATAAGAATTGCTGTCATTTGTCTTTCTTTATTAACGGCTCCCATATTGTATTTATTTCTATGCTAGGCCTACTAAGGAGATCCTCATAGCCTATCATATGCGCTGATACTCTCCAACGTCTAACTCCCCAGTTTTCTTCCCTTTCCTGCATTTTCACTTCATTCCATAGGGGCTGATGACCATCCTTTCGCTTTATACATGATCAGCCATGCCCGATTTCATTGTCTCGCGTCTCAGTACATAATCTGCTACAACCGCAAGGAATCGAATACACGCAATTCTTCATCATGTTCTGGCCCGTGTTAGGCTTTACCTAGCAGAGATTTCTCCGTAGAGTAGAGCTACTTCAGAATATTGTCCTGATTTGTATGGAACGCAGATCTGAAACTTTCCCGATAAGCCCTTGACGTAAGGTAGAAAGACCGTTACAGTTGGCACGTATGCTTGATGCAGATCATTCTATGTTGGTATATGTCTGGGTCGTCAAACGATCCCTTTTTTCACACTCTTCTTTGTCATCAACTTATTCTTAATTAAATCTCTTGTTTCTCTTTTCTTTTGTTCTGTTTTTTTCTTTTCTTACCCATCTCAATTTTCCCTCTTTTCTTCCTTCTCTTTCATCTCCTTTCATTTTCCTTCTCGTCCTTCTACCCGTCTTCTTCATCATCATCTTTCGACCTCTTCTTTATTTCGTTATCGTCTTTCTCTTTCCTTATTCCCCCTCCTTTTTCTTGTCTTTTTCTTCGCTCTTTCTTATTCTTTTCACCCTTCCCTCCTTCATTATGCTTAACTTCCATTCCCCATTGAATTCCTTCTAAACTCATTTATCATTCTCACAAACCCTGACTCCTTAAAGGATCTCCTGCTTTCTACCTTTCTTCCAATTCTTAGCCAATCAGAATCGTTGTTCAGCTTCTTTACTAAACCTAAGATTTCAGAAATCCACCATGCATGCTGTTCACTTATTTTCTTACATTTAGAGCCTACGAATTCCTTGGCAGCAACCCGATTATCTCCAGCATCCTTAAACAAAAAGTATTCTTTAGTCTCCGCTTCACATTCGTTCTGGCGTCTATCAAATTACAATTCGTTTAGGAATCGGGGCTACTAAACACAATCTATCTAAAAGAATCGATCAAAACTAAATTCACACGATTTCAATTCATGTCACTGAGGCAAAATCGAAATGCAATTCACCTAACATAAGTTTTAAAGAAATATTAATAGATTTGATACAGTTATGTCTTTTCAAGACATTTTCAAGACCATATTGAGAAGACTGCTTCATTTTGTTGATAATTTTTAATTCTTATTCTAGTATTATTTTTATATTTAACTGCAAAACATTTCTGTAAAGTCTCCTTTAAATATTTATATTTCCGAAGTACAAGATGAAATGTTTTTTTATGGCATATCAACATCTCAATGGGTTATTTAATGCCGAACAGATTTTTATTGCTGGCAATATTTTTTATCTATCTATCTATCTATCTATCTATCTATCTATCTATCTATCTATCTCAGTATATATTGGTTTGGTTTGTTTTGTTTTACGGCATATCAACCTCAATGGGTTATTTACTGCCGAAAAGATTTTTATTGGTGGTAAAATACTTTTCAAAAATGTATTGTTGTTAATATATACTTTTTCAAAATATGTATTGCTGGTAATATTTTTTCCTCAAAAATGTATTGCTGGTAATATTTTTCCTCAAACATATATTGGTATTAATATATTTTCTTCAAAAATGTATTGGTAATAATTTTTCTATCAAAAATGTATTGCTGGTAATATTTTTTTACAAAATTGTACTGCTGGTATTAAAAAAATATTTTTTTTACACTTTCATAGTGCTTTGACCCCAGTTTGGGAGTTAACTATTTGCCCATAGCTGCGAACCTAACAGGTGCTACCACTCCAGGTCAGGGTAGACCTGGGAATACCAGCAATTAAAAGGTGGTTCCACGCTTCTCAAAACCACCTGGTTAGAGGCCTTGCTGTTGGATGTACTTTATCGTCTTACCCATGATAGCCTGATGAAATGTGTAGAACATGGAGTACAAGGATTTTGTTACGAACATCTAACATATCAGGAATGGAGACGTACACGAGCAAAAATATATGACGCTAACGAGAAAAAAAAGCTTTGTTATTGATCGTTCAATCGGACGTAAGTAGATTGCAATGCAGAAGATTGCGATAAAGATAAATATCCGGGCGACCGATTTTTACCTGAGAACTTTATTCCTAGCACAAGCCGGAAATACCTAAATCAGCTATAAGACAGAACACTTAATGGATGGCTATAATGCTTGATTTTGACCATTTAGGTTGATTCCTTCAGTACTTGAAAGTTTCGCTTTGAGATAATAACGAACAGTAATCTTTTCTACTGATACGCAATTAACTCTTCATTCTTTAAGTCAAGGGTTAATCTTTATTTATCCGCATAATCTTAACTTCCAACCACTCCTTCTTCCATTCATCCCCCCCTCATCCATCATTACCATTCTCCAATGACTGGCTTCTGAGGCTTGTATTGGTTGAACATTAGTTTAAAAAATATACTAAAGAGTTCATTTTATGAGAAAGTGATCTGCTTGTTGATGAAATTAGCTTTCGAAATCTTGATTTTAAATTATTTCGAAAATTAACCTTTGACCTTTAATGACGAGAAGAAAACCGATTTGTTAAATGTGATTTGTATTGTTTTGTTTTGTTTTACGGCATATCAAGTTGGAGACACGCCAATTCCATTTTCTGTGTTGATAACAACAAATCTAATTTCATTTCACGTCTTCTTTCTTGTATATGCCGTATCTATTAAGGACGTAGGCGATCATCTTCTTGTTCTTTGTAGCTCTTAATAAGTTTTATCTTTTTGTCTTCGAGAAAGAGGGACGAATATGAAAAAAAAGCAACGAAAGTATATCGCGATTTGATCAAAATGCAAAGAATTCACCGCTCCTCTAATTAATTTAAGTTCAAACATTAAGTGATTAACGAAACCAGAACAGAATTTTAAAAAAATCATTAAAAGAAATAATGCCATTCTTGGTTTAGTTTGGTTTGTTTTGTTTTATGGCATATCAGCCTCAATGGGTTATTTAATGCCGACAAAATTTTTATTGCTGGTAATGTTTTTCTTCTAAAATCTAATTTCTGGGAATATTTTTCCTTGAAGAAATCTATAGCTGGTCATATTTTTTTTCAAAGAATGTATAGCTGTTTGTATTGCTGGTATTTTTTTTTTTTTAAGTATCACTGATAATAGTTTTTCCTTTTAAAATTATTGCTGGTAATAACTTTTTTATTACAAAGCATTTCTGGTATTAAAACTTATTTTTACACAAGTTTCGGTATTAATTATTTGCCCATAGCTGGGACCCTAACAGGTGCTACCACCCCTGGTCAGTGTGGACCTGGGAACACCAGCAATTAAGAGGTGGTTCCACGCTCCTCAAAACCTTCTGATCAGAGGCCTTGCTGCTGGATGTAGTTTATCGTCATACCTAGGACGGTGTTAAATGTGAAGCAGTCTAATGGTGGCGTGGAAAAGTGTTTATATTTAATTGAAAGGATGTTTATCTGTCTTTTAATGGTGATCGCTATAGAATCGAATCTGGTCATATTATTTAAAATTTATTGGTTACTGAACCCCGAACTTAGGAAGACTGGCAACAGAACGAGTACATTAGAGTTTGATTCATGTTTATTCCGAAGATGCAGAAGTGACCGGAATTTGACCGCTTTTTCGATCTTATTTTCCTGAACAGTTAACCATTGAGCCAACATATACACCAAGATAGAATAGATCAATAAACAAAAACATAATTTAACATCGTTAACATCATAATTCTCCACCTGATGATCACATTTTTAGAACGTGCTCGATATTTTTGCAATATCGATCGATTTTTGGGGACAACAAACGGTTCATTATTCAATTTTCTATTGATCTTCCTTGAGAATCAATAACAATGCCTCAATCAAAAATTGGATGATCAAATTTAAGTCTGGAATGATTTTCCGCACTGGGAAAATTAAAATAAAGAAGATTCCATCATCACCCCCAAATCAGCGCTCATAAGCAACATTGTGACCTGTTATTAATGGAAAATCATTGGCCACCTGTGTGTGATCCGTAATGACACGATGACATGCCACGGATTTTTTACGTTGAAAATATTCATTTGTGTCATACAAACGTGATATGTGTAAGGTCCCCGACGGATCAAGCTTTGAATATAATTAAATAAACGTTTTTGATTGGTTTACTGATGTTTAAGATATAATAGTCAAGTAGTTAAAACCGCTGTTCAACATGCAATAGCAGCGAGGCATATAAAAATTATAAGACGTTATGAGATTATTTTAACAATTTTGATAAAAGATTTTATTCATTAGAGAACTAAAAAGACCGTATACAATATTAACAACATACGATATATACAGATAACACTGTGTTGATAGCAAAGTGCAAGGACTTCTAGACAAGTTAGTAAAGAACGCGAGAAAAAAGGACTAACTATTAAATGTCATGTTAGAAAAGATATGGCTAACATCAAGAGATTGAGCTGCGAATTGGAGACGCCAGAATCAAGTAGATACAAAGGTTTAACTCTTTGGTTAGTATATTAAAACTGTGAAGGTAAATGTGACTCAAAAATGCGAAGTTGTAATAGCATAATATGTCTTTTAGAATTTCCACAAAGTATTAAGACAAAAAAAAAAAAGATTACTCTCTCATGGCTGATGATAACTTCCAGGGCACTGAATCATTGCGCCTTCTCCACCTAACATTCTCGTCTGACATTAAGGAAAAAAAACTATATTGAATCCATTGCTAGGTCAGCTGCTAAGAAAGTTAGTTCACTCTGTAGTACTAGACAATTTTTCTCGCCAGAATCTATTTACTATCTATAAGTCTACCATTCATCCATGCTTAGAATATTGCTAATATTGTTGCCACATATGGTTCAGTGATCCTGCTATTTATCGAGAGATTCTTGATAAAAACCAAAGAAGAATCAGCAATATTATTGGTCCTGACCTGGCATCTCAGTTTCAGTTACTTTTCCAACGCCTTAAAGTTGCCTCCCCGTACCTTTTCTATATACACGTTCATGGTAATTGTTCAGGTGAGCTCTTCGCTATGGTACCTAGACTTTATGAATTTAAGCGAAGTACTAAATTGGCAACGTCTCACAGTTGAATTGGTTAGATCTAATCGTAAGTTTTATTTCAATTCTTTCTCGCTTGTGAAGCACTCTTAAGATTCTATGCTTTCAGGCCAACTTTGATCATCAAAAATTTAAATGCAATGTCTATCGTTATCTACCGCCTTTCTGATTACTCTTCTATTCATTACTTACATTATTCGGACTATTTATTACAACGTTTCGGCCGTTGTACGCTCCGGCCTTCTTCAGGTGGTTGGAATGTCGAACTGAACCCTTTATTTCGCTTACTGGGGTAGACCATTCTTGTTTCATGTGCCATGTTTAATGGATGTCAATTATCAGTTATTTCCTGTTAATTTCCCTCTGAAAGTTCTCCACTGCCTTAGCCGGGTATTGAACTCACACTCTATTTCTGAATATTACTAACGCCTTTATCCACTGTGCCATGTGGTCCTTGAGGACATCTGTGTATGAATTTCTGGGTATTCTAAACCTAATGTCTTCAGCAACCATTTTTTACCAGTGCTCCTATACTGACATCCATTAAACATGGCACGTAGAACTAGAACAGTCTACCACAGTGAGAGAAATAAAGGGTTCAGTTCGACATTCCAACCACCTGAAGAAGACCGGAGCGTACAACGGCCGGAACGTTGTAATAAATATGGCGATAAAGATTAGGACAATAGTCCGAATAATGTAAATAATGTACATAATACCTCATCTCAGAAATATGGACAGATACTGAAAGGCCGAAACGTTGTAATAAATATGGCGATAAAGATTAGGACAATAGTCCGAATAATGTAAATAATGTACATAATACCTCATCTCAGAAATATGGACAGATACTGAAAGGCCGAAACGTTGTAATAAATATGGCGATAAAGGTTAGGACAATAGTCCGAATAATGTAAATAATGTACATAATACCTCATCACAGAAATATGGACAGTTACTCTTCTTTTATTTTCGCTTCTTTATATTATTTTGTTTTCTAATTCTTTCACACCAAGTAACCCCTTGTGTCTCATTATCACTACAGCTTAGACTGCGGTACATTCGATTTAAAAACATCAATCCCTCTAAATGGCTATGAATGCTAGGCAATGTTTTACTGATGAAGGAGTCGAAGCAAATGTGGTTCTACAAAGGATTGCTGAGAATAACAATGGGAATTAAATGGAAATTTTAGAAAGAATTAAACTTTTTGGAACACATAATGTGGAAAAAGAGCATGGAAAATTTTAAAACTCACAGGACGTAATTTCTATCTTAATTTTAAGAATGAGAAGGGCTATCATTATTTGCATTCTTTACAGTTGGACCAATGTTCTCA